TAGCCCAAGAGACAGAAAGGGCCACATAAACCAGAGACTTCATCAGCCTGAGACCAGAAGAACTAGATGGTGCCCGGCTACCACCAATGACCACCCTGACAGGGAACACAACAGAGAGTCCCTGATTGAGCAGGAGAAAAGTGGGGTGCAGAACTCAAATTCTAGTAAAAAGACCAGACTTAACGGTCTGACTGAGACTGGAGGAACCTTGGAAAGCATGGCCCCTGGATTCTCTATCAGCCCAGAAATAAAACAGTTTCTGAGGCCAACTCTTCAGACAGGGATTGGACTGGACTGTGGGACATAAAGTGATACTCGTGACGAGTGTGCCTTTTAGCTCAAGTAGATACAAGAGACTAAATGGGCAGCTTCTGTCTGGAGGTGAGATGGGAAGGCAGAGAGGGTCAGGAGCTGGTTGAATGGACATGGGGAATCAGGGGTGGAAAGGAGGAATGTGCTGTCGCAGTATGGGGAGAGAAATTAGGGTCACATAACAATGTATATATAAATTTTTGTATGAGAGACTAACTTGAAATATAAACTTCATTTAAACTACAACAATAAAAAAAGGAAAATATGAATGCCATGGAATACTGTGACATGAAACCAGAAACTTTTGCTAATTCATGTAGAAAATCTAAATCAGCAAAAGTAATACCAAGTTGAATGGCAAAACCAAAATCAGGGCAAGCAGACATGTGTCCATTGTTAAAAAAGGAAATGAATTTATGAAGCAATATGTACCCTAATGCCAACTTGAATATGGTTTTAGACATTGTAAAATGGTGACGGTAGTATCAATAGCATCGCTAGAACCTGTTTAACTTCAGGGGGGATAATGCAAATCAAGATCCGCCCAAAGCTGATTCCCAGAGGTGGAGGTCAGACATACCTCCACTCTCCAACCTTTTTACCAATTCTGACACCAACTATCCATCCCGCAACACTCTTTACTTCTCTTTTGGATTCAATAATCCATTGCAATGGCCACATAGAACTCACAGACCATAAGTGGTTTATTAAGGAACAGGGTACAACTTGGGATCAAGATCAGTGGGCTACAACTCAGCATCAGGAAGCATGTAGGCAAAGTCTCCTCCCTTCTTTGGTGCAGGACAGCTCTCATCAGCTCTTCTTGGCTGTGCAGGCCTCCTCTTAGCCCTCTGAGGACAGGCTCCTCTCAGCCTCACCGTCTGTAACCACTGGCTCTGCCACTGGGCTCCTTCTGGTCCTCTCACCAGCTTCAGAGTTACAGCCTAACCTGTGTTACGGCTCTTTTAGGAGGTTCTTTGTCTGCCCTCTCTCTGCTTTTTCTTTCTTCTCTCTTCTTTCTTCCTTCTGCTTCTTCCTGCTGTTTCTCTTCCTGCTTCTTTCTGTCTCAAAAAACCTCTGTGGGGTTGGCTGCTTATATCTATAAACTACTGACCAATCTCCTCTCAGTAGCCCACAGACACTTCATTTGCATAGTCTACTGACCAACCCTGCAAGGTGCATAACAATCACAGGGCAGGCTGCAGCCCAGGGCCAGACTAAAAGTATCAAAACCTCAGGTTGTTTACAGTTTACCCAGGGAATGTCAATCAACCTGGACAAAAACAACAAACCCTCTGGGGTAGAAAACTAGGGCAAAGGGAACTCCTCAGGGCTTAGGGGGAATATCTCAAGTTGTTTTTCCTAAGAACCAAGGCAAAAGGCCACATAAAGGAACTCATTTCACCACAGGCACACTTTTAACAATTTGACCAGTATCAACACAAAATGAAAAAAAAAAAAGTTCTGTGTCTGGGATATTTGTTATGAAAAAGATGAGGACTAAAAATAGGGCAATTAATGCTTTTTGTGTTTTAAATTTTCATTTTAAAATAATAAAACTTAAATCATTGTAGTATTATCTTTCAATTTTTAAATAATTTTTTGCCATTTAATTTGTGTTAATGTTCCCTTCTAATATTCTCTCTTATCAACTGTCTATATGTGACAGAGAGCATTTTAAATCTTATTGAAATATATAACCTTGTAGCAATACATTGGTACATTATAATAATAAACCCTGAGTTATGTGTTTTTTTTTTTGACAGAAAACCTCCAAAAAATGTAGTAAGACCTTCTCATAGAAAAATAACTCACTATTTATTGTATGGAAACCCTGGTGGCGTAGTGTTTAAGAACTGCCACTGCTAACCAAAAGGTTGGCAGTTCGAATCCACCAGGTGCTCCTTGGAAACCCTATAGGGTAGTTCTACTCTGTCCTGTAGGGTCACTACGAGTCGGAACCCACTCGACAGCACTTAACAACAACAAAATTATTATTAAATACAGAAATAGAGTGTTATGAAGAAATACAGAATAACTTATGATTTCAAGAATTCCCAGGAATTCTGATTTCTTATTCTCAAATCCCAAAGGCTAATTTCTGTCAGAAATTTGGAAACAC